GGAAAATTTTAAACATATACAAAAGGAAACAGAATAGTATAATGAATCCAACAACTATCACCTCTAACAATTAGCAACTTATGACCAATCTTGTTTCACACTCATATATACTTTCTACCTCACACAACTTTGAAGCAAATCCCAGATAATATCTCAGTGTATATGTAGAAAAAATCACTTTTAAAACAATATAACCAAATACTGTTAACACAGTTACCACATTAACAATAATCCTTTAGTGTATGTTTTAAAATCTCCATTTGTATTGAAGATTTTAAAAATATATCTTCTATATTGGTAATTCAACTGTTTATTGTTTTATTGGTGCTTAATTAACTAAGTAGAAAAATGATGGTGACTATGAAATATACCTGTGGCTATTTTGAAGATAAATTTTAACTGCTTCTCTATCAAAAGTAATTTAATTAAAACTCTGACACATTTGCCAATATCCTATGTCCCAGAAAGGGAATCCTAAATGTTATAAGGCTGACAATCATTTGTAACTAATTTGAACATTTGGTGGACTTTCAATCAAAATATAATACATAGTTCTTTTTAACTGTATTATCCTAAAAGCACACGAAAAGATAAAATGTGAGATAATTTTAACAAAGGATAATGATAAATGGGTCTGTTCCCAGTTTACTAAAAAAGATCTTCAGAGTTTCTCACCAATATTATGAACAACAGAGTCTGAGGTGTTACTTTCTAACTGAAATCCCTCCTATTATTTTTTTCCTTCAAATGCAAATAATTGCCTTTTATTCCACCAAAGTCCTTTCTTCACCAAATTTGGGGGAAAAAATACATTAATGGTAAGAAAAAAAAAAGGAGGGGGAGAAAGAAAAGTAATGAGAAAGAATTAACATTACAAAATGATAAAGTATATAATAGCTCAGACTTGGATAACTACAAGACAATTCTAGTGTACATAATAGCTTCATATATGAAGTAAAAAATGAAAATTGAAATGAAAAAAATGAAAATTTTTGCAGTGAGGGCCTTGAAAAGAGGTGGGGAAATGTCCCAAATTTACTTAAGAGATTCAGGAAAAAGGGAAAGTCTCAGAACTCAAAGGTAAACTACCTGCAAATTCCATTCTTCCTTTATAATCATTGGAGGATAGACCCTTTAATCAGAACCTGGAGGATAGACCCTTTAATCAGAACCTAGACTTGATGACATATAAAAGGAATTCTTATTAGAGCTGGAGAAAATCTTATATAGTTAACCTAGGCTCTTTAATTTTAAATCTGAATAAATCAAGAATCAACCAATGCTTATGAAAATAAGCATCATGAATGAGACTCAGATTGAAGCATTAACCTCCAAAGAAACACAGTTAAAAAGGAAAAGAAAGGAGAGAAAAGGAAAAGAGAAGAAAGGAAAAGAGAGAGGACTCACCAACTAGGGAGGCCGAGACAGGAGGATCACAAGTTCAAGGTCAACCTCAATAACTTAGCAGAACCCTATTTCAAAGTAAAAACATAAAATGGACTCTGGAGATATAGCTCAGTGGTAGAG